TCAGTCTATCGTATCAAGGTTAACCTTTCCCTTCCATGGTTATTAGATATTTGTTCAATAATTTTTGTTAGTTTTTTTTCAACCCTATCCCTAACCTTTTTATTATTCTTTAGTGTTCTGATATTCATCTCTTACATAATCTGGATAATGTTCACATAGTTAAACAGTTGAAATCACGAGTCACTCTAAACTAGACCACCAATGAAAACTCGAGAGCACAAGACGGCCGTTTCGTCCTAGTATATTACTCCTCATCAAACAATAAATAAACAAACTAAATGTTGGGATATTCAGGAAAATATCCCAAAAATTATTCTATTAAGTCTAACGCTATTCTTGGACTTGGAGATGGTGTTATTCTCTTATTGGTCAGTGCTTATTTCACGTGTCATTTTCATACTGGTCAATATTGTACAATGTTATTTTCTATTTTATGGTACGATGTGGTCTGCTTGATTAGTATATAAACAGAGTGTGTTTGAAATATAATGATTCATATATCCGAGGCTGAAACTTGTGTTCTGGACTCAACTGGCTGGGTTAGACAGAGAAGCGGGATCAATCAGAACCCTAGGCCATTCTACGTGTTTGCGCGTCTTTGGTCCGATCAACAATTCGCTACCCCTTAATCAGCAGCATAGTTTCACATTATAACACTAAACTAACCCAAACTCAAATAGTACAAAGGACTAAAACAAAATATTTAGTTCGGTCAATAAAAAAAGCAGGTCTGACCAAGTCAATGTTATGTCAAGGTGATTTATGTGAGACATATTTGTGCAATTGTGTGTATGTTAATGGTGGATGAAAAAAGTGACATTTATGATGTGAAGGAAAGAGTTAAATTTGTGTATATGAGAATAGTGTGAGATGTGAATAGAATCAGACATGGCAGCTCATATAGATGGTCCAAGTCAGATGAATCAGAAGATTATCTGATCCTAAATGATTTTCAGCAGTTGAGACGTTTTGTAATAGTAAATAAAATTTATATCTAGGCATTGCAAGTTTTTCGGAGTTCCTGAGAAGATTGTCAATATTATCCGGAACTCATACGACGGACTACAGTGCAAAGTAGTGCATGGAGGACAGCTGACAGATGCATTCCAAGTAAGGACCGGAGTCAGACAAGGCTGTTTACTCTCTCCCTTCCTCTTTCTTCTGGTGGTCGACTGGATTATGAAGACCTCAACATCTGAAGGAAAACACGGAATACAATGGACAGCTCAGAATCAATTAGACGATTTGGACTTCGCAGATGACCTAGCCCTACTATCACGTACACACGAACAGATGCAGATGAAGACAGCCAGTGTAGCAGCAGTCTCTGCATCAGTAGGCCTCAACATACACAAAGGGAAAACTAAGGTCCTCAAATTCGAAGCGGAGAACAGCAATCCAATCACACTTGATGGCGAAACTCTGGAAGATGTAGAGTCCTTCACATATCTGGGAAGCATCATCGATGAACAAGGAGGATCCGATGCAGACGTAAAGGCGAGGATCGGCAAAGCAAGGGCCGCTTTCCTACAATTGAAGAACATATGGAACTCAAAACAACTTTCAACCAATATCAAAGTAAGAATCTTCAATACGAACGTCAAGGCAGTTCTACTGTATGGAGCTGAGACTTGGAGAACTACAATAACCACAATCAAGAAAGTACAAGTATTTATAAATAACTGTCTACGCAAGATACTCAACATCCATTGGCCGGATACCATCAGCAATAGCCTTCTGTGGGAGAGAACAAACCAACTTCCAGCTGAAGAAGAAATTAGGAAAAGACGATGGAAATGGATAGGACATACATTACGCAAATCGTCAAACTGCATCACGAGGCAAGCCCTAACTTGGAATCCTGAAGGGAAGCGAAAAAGAGGAAGGCCAAAGAACACATTGCGTCGGATAATAGAAGCAGATATGAAAAGGATGAATTACAACTGGACGGAGCTAGAAAGGATTGCCCAGGACAGGGTTGGATGGACAATGCTGGTGAGCGGCCTATGCTCCTTCACGAGGAGTAACAGGCGTAGGTAAGTAAGTAAGTAATTGCAAGTTTTTATATTACAATGACCAAACCAGTAAACTACAACAATGTGGAAAAAGATGAACAATTGAGCGAAAAATATATGTTGATAGGGGATATAATCAACTGATCTTAGTTACACAACCATTGTAAATCAGAAAGTACTGGATAGCTTTTTAGTCACAATAAGATGCCATTAGTAGAGCTTTACTATATTAAGAATGAGACAGTTACCTACCAATAGACTTGGAGAATGGATGTGCAAGATCGCAAATCAACTGAAGTTTGAAATGTACACCAATGGATGATCTAAAAGCCATATTAGAACGAAAAAGCTATCCTGCGCCTTCTGAATTTTATTGGTTGTTTTAGCGATAGTCAGTTTGTGGTATAAGCTATGAAATTTAAAAGTCTACACAGACTCTCTACACAAATAAAAGTATAATTCGCTTTTTAGACCGTACTATGTTATGGACTGAAGAAGAGATTTTCGAATCAATTCTCAGTTGACTAGTAACTTGGCTTTATATAAAAATTCTTTGGATACATAATTCTAACTTATGAATAAAACATTAAGCCACTGAATAAGAAGCACATTACCTCAATATTTTCTGACAAAAGTGAGTACTACAAGAAAGTCTCTAACGTTCTGATGTAACGAATCACCAGTGATCGCTAACCCATTACTTTGTACATCTCCAAAGATTAAATCGATAATTTGCAATACACTTAAAGCCAATTCATTTATATCTCGAGTTAATGTTGACTGATTTTTCGTTGAAAATCCAATTTTTTTATTAATTAATTAATTGGATCACATTTCATAGAAAAGCTTTAAAACACGTGAGATTTTTTTACATATCTAGGTAGCATCACTGATGAACCAGAAGGGTCTGAGGCAGATGTGAAGGTATCGATTAGAAAAACAAGGATAACATTCACACAATCTAAGGACATCTGGAAATAAAAATAACTGTCAAACATCGAAGTTCAAATCTTTAACACAAAATATCAAGACAGTCTTATTGTACGTAGCTAAAACTTGGAAAACTATAATCATCATCAAAAATGTACAGGTATTAAAAAACAACTGTCTACGCAAGATACTCCAGACCATCAGCAACAACGTACTGTGGGAGAAACAAACCAAATGACAGTTGAAGAGGAAATCAAGTAAAGACGCTGGAAGTGCATAGTGTACGCAATGCGGGAATCAAACTGCATCACAAGGCATGCCCTAAGCTAGAAGCCTGGAGGTGAAAGGAAGATAGGTCAACCAAAAAATTCATTGCGTCCAGAATCGGAGGCAAACATAAAAAAATAGATAGCAGTTGACAACGAATGGAAGAGACAGCTTAGAACGGAGAATCCTGGTCTTTAGTTTATGCTTTCACGAATGGTAACAGCAGTAAGTAAACTAATATTGATCAACTAGAATCTGAAGAATGTACTTTGTTCAAATTACATTACATTTGTGAACACAGGTCACTCAATCAAGACTGACTCTGCGTTCAAAGTCATCTACAAGGAAAGTAGAAGTCTTCCAAAGACAATTAGATTGAATCTTCTTCACATTGCAGAAGCAATAGCTATACATCTGGAAAAAAGAGAATTGTGTGTGCAAAAGAGATTAGTACGACCTCTTCTACCATGGCCTTCATGTCTTATAATTTTTTTCTTTCTTGATACTATTCTTCCTTTATTGTCATTTACTTCCCCTACCATCTTCTCCTTAAACCTTCTACCCCCAACTGGTTTATTTCCGTTTCCAAGATCATCCTGATGACATTTAATCACAAATTCAACATTTTATCTTATCATGCTGAGCCATCCTGCCCTAATGATAACTTCCCTATCTATCTTTTGACGAATATTTAAGCCATTAACAATCAAACGATTATTAAACTTTCCTTGTTTTCTAAAAACAATTTTTAATACCTCTGTTTATTTAACCTAACTGTCGCTATGTCTAACAGAAATTTATTATCAGTATTACTACCATTCTGAAAACATAAGTACTTGTATCTGTGTTTGTACAGCTTTGAAAATGAATTCACCGAAAAGGGGAGAACTCTTCACTGAACTAATCTTTTTTTATTTAAAAAAGAGAAGTCTTTCAACTAATTGTGTCGAAGTGATGATTGTCAACACAGACAAACTGAAAATTAACATAATAATATGGAATTCCGTTAGTGATTTAACAAGATTTTACACATATTTCTTTCTTTTTGTAATCTATATAACCGTCCTGTTTTACTTTATGGCAGCGAAACATGGCCTTTAAGAGTAGAAGACACTCGGAAGCTACTAGTATTTGACCACAGATGACTTAGAAATATTACTGGCGTCTGCTGGGATCACCGGGTAAGTAATAGTGAGGTTAGACGCAGGGTATTAGGGAATGATGGTAAGTCAGTTGATGACGTTGTGAATCTTCATCGACTGAGATCGTTGGGCCACGTGTTACGTATGTCCGAACACCGATAACCACGACGTGCAATGCTAACCGGTGTTCGGGATGGTTGGAAGAAAGTTAGGGGCGACCAAACTAATAGATTTGAGCTTTAATGTTTGTTAATATATCATTCTTCTATACGAAAATGGAGTTATTAGCTTAAAGCATTCAACTCTTGCCTTCTAGATTACAAATTCGAATTATGCTCAATCTAGTTTAAATTAAGCAACCTTAAACACTTGAAATAGGATACACAAGATGAGTAAATAAAGCCCTTGATTCAGTAAATGAATAATACATTGAAATTATAACATAATTAATACTTAAATATAAAATGAATGTTTATTGCATCCCGCAAGGCAAGATCATGGATACACACACTACTGAAGAGTCAGACAATAAGACGAAACGGCTGTCTAGTGCTTCGAGATTTCCCATGATGATCTAGCTTTAATCGACTTAGGATCTCAATCGTTAAAAGTTGTTATGGATCGTTGAACAGAAAAAAAAAAGAAAGAAACAACTAATAATTGTTCATTTATTAATTTTTTCTGCATGTGTATTTTGTGAAAACATATGAACATTTTACATTGAAATTACTAGAAAAAAGAGAAAAGACAGAAAGAGACCAAGAGAAAGAGAACAAAAGACAAGATATAGGATTGCATTGTTTTAAAAACAAAACAAAACAGAAGAACAGAAACATTAGAGAAAATATAGCATACAATTGTTTGTTCCAATCAATATATGTAACGATATTAGTAGTTAACTGGATGGATCGTTCATTACATTCTTTGTCACATTATTCTTCTTTATATCATTAAAAAAAAAAGATAAAACACAATCTCCAAGAGAATAGGGATTAAAGATTGACAAAGCAAAACCTACTAACATTAATGTGTACACATATTCTCAATTGAAACATGTAACGTAACTCTCTGTTACTACTTATTATTATTCAATAATAATAGTTCATTAATTCATCATTCATTTGTAAAATAAAATGAATACTATCAAGCACAACAAACCAATCGATAATTCATTAAAACACATTGCTATATTGAATGACAACAGATTCATACAAACTAATTATGATAATGATCATTAAATGAAGAAAATATGGTGTACAATATATGTGCGAGAGAAAGTGAAGGAGAAAAAACGGTACAAAAGAAGAAGAGAAAGAATGAAATAGAATAATGTTGAGAAGAGCTTCTATTAATCAGACTCATTAGACAAACAATCACTGACCTGTTGTTTTCACTGATATTTACGATAGAATGCTTGACAGGGGAACAAAAAGAATTGAGATACACTGTTTAGCATGCATTCTTATTTCATTTTAACCACATGAAGAAATTCAAACAAAAACTTAGCACCTATAAGTACTCAACAAAAAAATTCAAAGTGTACATTATCATCACACACACACACACATACATGACATAGATGGGCTGTATCATGTCAATAATTCAAACGGAACATCAAGTCATATGCAAATACATCCTTTTTACTATCGATCCAAGTTTATGAATCCCAATAATGTATACATATATAAACGTTGAAACAAGCAAAATTTTCTCTTGTTCTCTCTACACGATAGCAATCAAAAACAGAACCAAACAAGAAAATAGTAACTGATGAACTATTCATCATTTACCAGGAAGAAATTTATCAAATGTAAACAAGAACACATACAATTACATATGAATAGATGACCCATAGTCTCAAGCAATAAAAAGAAGGTTAAAGGATAATAACTGAAATACCAACGAAAGACAATACGCATACAGAGATGGGAAGAGAACAAACAATATGTATATGTGTATCTGACAGCATGATAATAGTAGGTAAGAATGAAAGTAATGTTTGTAATGCTCAAACCTCAAAATATCTTTTTCATACCAACCTTCTTTTCATTAGGAAAAAAGAATAACAGGAATTCGAAGAGGAAGGAGACAATGATAGTGACGGCAACGACAACAATAACGATAAGTGAAAGATAGAGACTTTAGCAATCTTCACACACTAAACATATTACAAAGCTCTATATACATGAACAACAAAATATATGTGTTTATTGTAACATATATTAGTGTGCTGAACACCATAAAACAAATTGAACAGTGAAGTATTTCGAGGAGGAGTTTTATTATTATTATTATTATTTCGAAAGAAAAATGGTATGATTTTCTTCTTCTTCTCAATTTGAGGAGATAAAATAAGTGAAAAGCAAAAACAAAAACATTACAATTTTAACTGATAACTATCAATGTTGATAGAATAAAAATACTAATTATTATCCGGTGATGATCTTCACCTATTACGCTTAACATCTGATGATACTGATGATGAAGATGACGAGCCATTATTCGCTGTTGTTGATGGTTGTTGATTATTTGTTCCACTACGTGAACCGGATGTACGACGTTCATTAGGTGGAATTGTATCTGATGGATGAAGAGTATATGTTAAACGTTGATGTGATGGTAAATGTAAAAAGAATGGATGTGTAAGTGCTGCAGACAAAGGAATACGATCTGCTGGATCATATTCTAACATCTTAGACATTAAATCAAATAGATCAAGTGTATCTTGACTTTCATCTTTGCAATAACGCTGAAAATTAATGAAATAACAGATAGAAGTAAGACAAGAAAAAGAAATATGATTAGCGTAATTTATTTGTTAAACAATGCAATATAATTGGTATGACAAATGTTAACAACATGTTAAATAACCTAGTACGGTCGAGGGTGGTGAGTCAGCTCTCCCTCTTCAAATGCTCTCACACATGGCCACGCGTACAGAGCTACTACCAGGGAAAGTCCTAATCACTGCCTTCTAGAGACAAGGTGTTATTTATGAAATTGAGAAGACGAAAAACTCCCCCTGTACCAATGTATGTACGTTTAAATTTACATATTGAAGTAATGAGTTTACTTAACTTCTATTCAACAATACGGTTTCGAAATGTTACATCTATATAACATGTAGAGCTAAAGATGATAGATGGAACAGGAAAAGTCACCAAGTCTAAAAATAAGTGACAGTTAATCACAGGACTGCAGAGGTCATTTAGTCATATCCATTATAGAACCTGATATAATATGGGTGTTTGTCCGAATTGTCACACTATAACGGTAAAGTATGATGAAATAATCAAGATATATAGCAAAGAATCAATGATAATAGCAGTCGTAGAAGAAAAGAATACGGATATATCATACGAATTGGCGAATTACAAGCGATTCTCAATCATATTACCCAACATTTCCAGTTATTGGTTATGATAATTACGCCGCATCCAATAAAATATTCTCGATCCATCTACACACCTTGATCTAACAGCCCATGACTATTACGTATTAATTTAGGGGAAGTTAGCTATATTCGAACATGTCTCCTCACACCAGCTAACATAAGTGAATATATTGATTAAACAATCCAACAGTAAAGCGCTAGTGACAACTTTAGCTATTGATACTTCACAATAAATATGGTGAACAAAAGTGTCGAGATTAATTTGATAAAAACAAATATACGCACATGTGTAGCTCAAAAAAATCTAATAAACATCCCACACACAAAAAAAGCCCAGAAACAAACTAAATAAATATTCAGTAAAGCGTTTTACATGAGCAAATAAGGCAAAGACGCATTATGCAATATTTACGCATACTCATACATACATAAACGAACAAACGAAGGTAATGTTAGTATTAAATAAAATAAACACTCATGATTATGCAACAGATGATAAGGAGAGAAAATAATTAAAGTTACCCGGAATGGACGACAATGTGTCAGAACATATTTGGCTTCACGTGATTGTGCATCCCATAAAAGATTGCCGGATGTATCAAAGTATTTGGTTCGACTAGAAACACAGATAGATACGTGTGCGTATGTGTGCATGCATTATGATTATTACAATAAGATTAACAATAATATTAATAATAGTTATTATTCGATGAAAATCTCGAACTAACCGCAAAGTATCATAGATCCATCCATAATATTAAGGCAATTAAAAGTGATTTAGCAAACAAGTAATTAATTAAAGAGATGGGATGCAAATAAACACATGCAAAAGAAATCCTTTAGAGAGAGAAAACAATAAGTAAATCCAGTCTGGAGAGTGGAAAAGAAAAGATATTTGATGTGAGCATTCTTTTCATTTGATGATAATTATAATGGTATAATGTTGACACGATGCAGTAGGATAAATATCTCCTTTCAAAATATATTTATTATGTGCCCATGAAACAAGCTTGAATAGTTTTTTTTGTAATCACAACTTACAAGTAAAGGACGACAATTCTCACGAACATAACGACCTTCTTGATTATAAAAATCCCAGTCCAAACGTCCATGATAGAAAAACCCAGTTCTAAACACACAAAATGAGTATTGATGTAAACATATTTTATGTAGTGATGATGATGACTGGGTCCGAATGAATAGCCTCCACCCGTATATCGTATCAATGTACATTTTGCGAGGTGATTTTTCAACAATAACAACAAATTCTAATTTTTTTGAGAAATTATGTAGACAGTTGGATCAGTTAGTTTAGTTGTAAACTAATTAATAACTGACATAAATATCAGTTTGAAAGCTGTATTGTCTTACTCAATAACAGCATATTATGGAAATCGAGATAAATAAAATGAAGAAAGATAGATTGGAAATAACAATAACCGAGATGGTGGTAATCTGAGGTATGAGTAGAACGAATGAAATGTAGTGACACAGAATTTGATCATATAGACATCAAACTTAACATTGTTTAATGATGGAAAGACAGTTTATACGGTGGAAATGGAGATTCGTAGCTCAGATGGATGATGATCTTGGTAGTATTGTATCCCACAAGATAGGTAGCTTAATTGATTAGAGCTTCCATTATCATTCAGGATAATAATATTTTTAGCATCTACTACATGTAGAAGTGAGTTTTTTTTCGTTATACAACAAGTTTTAAGTCAGTTTGTCTTGCTGAACTTCTTTGCGTATAATTAATTGTAATCATAGACTTCGTTGTCTTCATCTGTCTTTTCATATACTCGCTAGTTCCATAGATCTATGACTGCACAGACCAATATGTGCATCGAATTACATACGATCTAGCAAACTACTTATCGAAAAAGATCAATTAACCACATGGATAGAAGTTAACTGAACAAGAAAACCACCAACTTCTACATGAAGTAAAGTGTTGAAGATGTTTTCAAGCACGACAATGAAAGCTCTGCAATTATTTCACAGAAATGAACAACACCAATATATTTTAAAGATAAAGATCCCATATAGACACTAATATTATAGTGATGGAAAATAATAATAATAATAATAACATACCGTGACTTTCTTGTCATTCGATAAGGAATATGACCTAAAGTACGTTCCATCATAGCTAAATGTTCACGATTATCATGAGTCTAAAATGAAAATAGTAATACAGATTTTTTGTAAATTTATTTGTTTTCATTAATTTTTAATAAAACAAAATAAAACATCACAATTGTTGACTATGAACATTAAAGATATATGGACTGTAAAAATAACATATACACATGACAAAAGTAGAGATTTGTCTGATTCGCCAAAAATTAAAGGAAGAAAATTCCAAATCCACATATATCTAAGTAGATATTTATCTAAGTAAGTATTGAATACAGTTCTAAGAATATAAACTTATCCATGAAAGGAGATTGTTGAACATTATAGTTAAATATACGAAATGAACACCATTTGATCTAGATTACGTGCTAACAAGGTCAAACATTCCACGTGACAGTTAAATGTCTTGAGTTCAAACTAAGAAATGAGATTTTGAACATGCACTAGTGAGGAATCTAATAGTAGGACGAAAAAGATATTCAATCTTTTCTAGATTTTAATGCCTGATCAACTAAGGTGAGTTCGGGATGTGATTTATAAAATAAACTTATACAATCATAATTTATTATTGTAGAATACATGAATAGAATGCTGATCAATAGATGCAGTGATAATTTTTTACGACTACTGACTACTGACATAAATCCCAGAATAACTTTATTTCAAAAAAATGATAACAACACTATCCAAGTTTTATCTGCAGTAGAAAATATGCTTATATCACAGAATATTAGGTGTTATAAACGATCTAACTGTTACACTTAATTCTTGTTTATTATATCAAAATCGTTTTAAAGAGTGACTAAAACGTAGTGGGTCGCTGATAATGCGCTTACTAGTAGCTTTAAGAGTGGTCGAACTCAAAAAGAACGTTTCTGGGTTCAATATGTATGTGTAATATATCATAAGCACCGTATTTTCTACTTGTCGGGACCTTAAATGTCTTTGGTTCGTTGTCTCTTTTAATATGCTATTTGGAAACGCTTCCCAAGGACAATTTTATGCTGCATATATACACTTGAGTTGTGCTTGTTGTTGATCGTGCTTCTGGCTGCTTGTGGAATACATTTCCCACCTCTGAACCAGGACCACTCTCTAGTTAGTGGGTCTGGGACGCAGCAGAATAGCTAGCTTATTTGTTCATTGTGTCACTGAGTCTTCTTTCTGTTCGTAGATTAGATGGATTCGCAATCTCTTCAAACATATCACATATACACGCTAAAATTAATTAAATTTTGTTGATTTCACGCTGGATTTTTCACAACTACGATAAACTGAACAAGTGTATTTTGATACAAGTTATTTCAGTCAATGACAACGTTGATTATGCCACTTATTATCTTAAAATTTCCACAATCACTGGCTAATATTGTTTGTTGACTTGGGGGACAGTTAGGCATATGTAACACACATCAGAATTACTTCAGTCGATGACATTTCACAGATTCATCAATCGGTTGTCGTTCTACTGATTAGTTTATTACACTGTACTAAAGTTTTGCTTTAAAAAGCGATATTTTACATTTTTGCCAAAAAAAGAAGTAGATAAACACACATATCGATACTAAAGAATAACTTACTTGGAATAGTGTATAACCTGTATACAATTCAAACATGATGCATCCAATTGACCAAACATCACATGGTTGAGACCAACCTAATTCTGTTAAGAGAGAGAGAAATATATGAAAATCAATAAAAAATACTCAGTTTTAATCTAAAAACAAGATGAATTTTACTAATACTTAGTAAACGCTTGAATTATCTCGATTCAGCATTGAGTTTTGACCAGATAGCCTGGATACAGAAATTTCGTTGCAAGGTTCGTTTAAAAGAGATAGATTATGGCCAACAGTGGAAATAAAGGATGAGCAAGTATATCCAGCTGAACAAAACGGTAATTTCGCTGCGGAATCCATTGCTTGTCATAAACCATTCATTATTTTTAAAAAAAGTTAACTACAATGTACCGCGGGGTATTTTTGCATTGACCAGTGATTTTCAAATGAAAACCAAATTTTATAAGAAACTTTTGTGAGTCTCAGTCAATCATAAGGAATTTAGAATCTAGGTAGTAGTATCACTAGCCTCGGCACAAAAATAGTGTGAGTTGAAACTAAGTAAATACCGATTATATTGACTGGAATGACAATGAAAACTTTCGCAAATTCGACAATCTATCTCGCAGAAAACAACACTATCAAAAGCTATTATTTAAAATTATAAAATCTCCTGATGTCCTGATTTCTTTCTTGATCGATTGTACATTATGATTACTATTGAAAACTTTCAAATGTTATGAATATCTTTGACAAGATATGAGATTGAATGAAAAATTGAATTGAACACTGTTAACAACTAACTAATAGGTAGTTAAATAATTATTTCATAATGAATTATGCAGTATAACGCATTACTGATAGTTACAACATCGTCGTCAACCATCAAGTTCCACACAGTTAAGAATCATATTAAAGATCTGATTTTCATTGATTTCTCATTTTTATTTTATTCATGATAATTATAATATATTCATAATATTAACTAATTAATTAATTAACTAACCAAGTATTACTTCAGGTGCACGATAATGTCTTGTTGATACAATTGTAGAATGATGATCATAATCAAATGTTGCTGAACCAAAATCAATTAAACGTATATCGGAACATTTAACCATACGTTCATGTCGACGTTTTTTACGATTATGTACTGATATATAATCTGAATCAACAAATAATATATTTTCTGGTTTTAAATCTGTATGAGTTAATTGATTATCATGTAAAAATCGAACAGCATAACATAATTGATAAGATATATGACGAACATGTTCCATTGGATAACCGACATAATTATTTTCTTTCTATAAATTTAAAAGAAAAAACAAATAGAAGAGAAAAAAGTGTGAAGAAAAAACAACATTTATGTCTCAAATGAAAATTACATAACTTATCCAACTTGAGAAGATCAACTCCATATCAGAAAAATGCATGATACAAATACAGTAAATCAATTGTGTCTATCATTAACTGATGAGATGAGATATACAAGCAGATCTGTAACTAACCTATTAAGAATGATGTCACTTCAAATATAAATTAGTTAACATACTACAAATTTGAATCATAATCAAAGTTTAAGGGCAGATTAGATCTAAGATACAATAAATAACGTCAGGAGATGTAAAACGTACGCTAAACACATGAATAAGCCTTTGTATTGAGTCTAATGTTTACTGTAAACTAGGTTTATATTGCTCATTTTATAATTGAGTAATATTGAATCGTTTAGAAAATAAATGAAAGTTTAGTCAATACAACAACGTGCTTCCGATATTTGCTGGGTTTTTTAAGAAAATATTGTTAAAACTTTTAATTACATAGTCAATAATCATGAAGTACAGCATTGGGATTAGATGGTGGTTGGAAGTAGTCGACAGGAAACCCTGGACCCGGGTTTCATGCTACTTGGCACTCGTCAGCAAGGTGTACCTGTAATCTTGGGGGAACTGATGCTCCCTGGTGGATTCGACCTCGTGTCATCCAACTTCACAGTCAGAGACGTTGACACTGAGCTATTCGAGCCGCGACCGACCCCCTGTAGACTGGTGGCCACATTGCAACATGATCGATAGCATTCGATCTGTACTAATAAGGACTAGACACGCATGACATTGATCACCACCCAGTGATCAATCAATTGTGATTACATCTCAGTCCTACAGGAGGTCGGTCGCGGCTCGGATAGCTGAGTACAGCAGTTTAGTGTCCATGATAACTAAACATTTTGTTGTTATTATTATTATCACTTCAAAAAATAACTTTTCGTATGAACTGGAATAATCAAAGGTAGAGATTAATATCTAAGAAGACTATTACAGTTAGTGTAACAAATAACCAGTAATCAAGACCTTTAAAGAAATTTGTGATAACAGAGTTAGGGACCATATAGCTTACTAATCTCGTTTTAAGCTTGCCAGTAAATTAGGTAGTATACCGAGCAAATGTAAAGCAGTCACAAACTTATTGTATTGATTGTTATGGTATTCTGTTGAACTTTACAATTGTCTACGAATAAAAATGACTATCAACACGTTTGACAACTAGATACAAACTAGTACTCCTATATATTGTGTAAACGAATTGATGATAAATACTATAGCACTAAAATGCATTACCGTAGTTTGATCAAGAACATAGAGAAAGTTGATAAATTGATGATAATACTAATCAACATCCTAATGAGGAAAACATAGCCAGTTTTTAAAAAAAAACACTTATGAATTGCACCAACGGTTGGGTACAAGAATGAATGTTTCAACGACAGAAATAAAGGGTTAATTATTATGATTCTCATTTTTCAAAAGTTAACCATGTCATTACTACTTTGAGTAATTTAAGAGCTACTCAACTGAAAAATTAAATCAAATCTAACTAGACTAATATTTATAATTTTTCCTGTACAGTAGAGAATAATATACAAAATTAATTACGTACATAGTAATAAATGAAATAAGATGAATACTAGTAATACTACTTGGTTGTCCAAACGGAAGTAGATAGAGTGGAGATCGAACCTAAGAGTCACACACTCAAGAGAAAATGAACGTTTTAACCAATGAGCCACAGAACCGGCTTAACCACATTATGTATATATATATATATATATTCTTTAGTTTATAGCTAAGACAAGAAACTGTGTTCAATAAGCCTATTTTTCACACATCGATCTAAGTTCTAAGAATATTACCAATAAATTATTTTATACAAAAATTTAGTAACTATTTCTTAGGATATAATAATCATACACATACTACCAAGAGTGAAGAAATTGACCGGAAAAAGTGGCTGAAAATAGCATTATCAATCGGCACATATCTATCTATCTATCTACCTATGTACATAGAAGTAGTGAGAATCACAGTGTGTGTTTAAGAAAACGAACACTAATACAAAATAGATCGATGACACATAGTTTATCAATGATTGGTCGGACAAACTTTCTATTGACAAAGAAACTAGGCAGTGGAAAATTTATGTATACACGTACTAACAGTGGGATCAATAAAAAAGTTGACGCAAGTTATAAGCAATGACAAGTGGATTTACTTATGAATGGATACTGTTTATGACAATAATCAGAAAACAATATAGATTGTTATATATGCATGTGGTATGCACCGAATTGGACACACACTAATAGTAGAGACAACTATTTATCAACCGATTGAAAAAGAAAGTAAAACCGATACGATTCAACAAATGTATCTATGGACTACTATTAGTAAACTACTATTACAGGACTACTAAACAGTCAGTAATCTCATATCGTTGCTGTATTTGGTTATCCATTTTCTTAACTAAAATCTAGCGAATGAATACAAGTGTTATTGAAAAGTGGCAAACAATAGAAACTATGAAAATACACTAATACTTTGGTTAATTAATTTCCTGTTAGTGGAATTTCAATTATCCATCGTTCTACTTCATTGATACCGATGGTTTAAACTGCCAGCATTTACCTACTCACCTGCTACCCACTCTATACAAGATATTTAAGATAACGACTAGATGTGTCCAAGTGAGAAATGTACTCCAGTTCCTTTTTACACCATTGAATTTAATGATGTTATACTTATGGAACATTGACTTGATGTATTACATCGATCAGAAATCGTTACATAATCAGTGTATACGTTTGGTCAAGACATTTTTTTTCAATTTCAAAAGACCACATATAAATCACTCATGAGTTTAGTTTCCTAAGTGACAGGCATTAATACATATATATGGAAACGAGTACATATACATGTGATTGGGTATAGCAAAATTAACTTTCGCGATTTCCGCCTTTTCTCTCGAGTAGCTGAACTTATTTATAGAAAGTATGCACCACTATCAACTATTGGACAAAACGCCTTACGACAAAGCCTTTTATAATTGACCAACATCCATTTTCATAAGAAAAAAAGAATTTCCTATTGTTTAAACAGCGATAAAGACTCGATTAAAATCAACAGAGAGAAGAGGTAGTTAGCTCTAATTAGTTTAATTTAAATCACAAATCAATCGAAATTAGACCACAATTTAAAACCTGGAAGCCCTGGACGGCCGTTCCGTCTTACAAGAGAACTTCTTAGCAGTCCCCACCCACAAAGGCAGCTATCTATCTATCATTAGTTTAAATCAAACAAGAAAAACATTTATAGGCAGAGAGGAGCAGTGTTTAGCAATGGAATCCAGGACATGAATTTTTGTCCTTTTTGTGACTCGTCAGCTATATGTACCTCCACCGCAGAACTGATATTTACTCCGGGACTCGAACCCAGTGCTATTCGCTTCAAACACCATTGCGCTATTCACTTAGTTACTAAGTCAAGATAGCCACAAGCTTATGTAATGAATCAAACAAAATCTATTTTTATTTTTCAACTTCTGACGATTAAAAACTTATTTTCAAAATACAGAAAATATAATATCCCCTTTCTATGTTATAATGTACAAGTAGATAGATAAGTAATTAGGTAAACAATACAACAAGCATTAAAATGTACTACAAATAGTGAAATTATTTTAAATACAAAAAGAAAAATAGTACCAAGAGAATTTCAATGAAGTGAACAATTAATATACAGACACACAAATACAAACAAACATAAACTAGTTGTTAGTTAAGAATTAATGGAAACTGACATTATCAATAAAAACTACAGTAGTAAATACTAATAATCCTACGATTATTACTATTATACTATTAATAACAGTAGTATTACTGTTACTGATATCATTGTGTTTACCAGTAATAATAATAATAATACTATTTTTCTTTATAATTAATACAAAATGACAACAGAAAATGTACATTTCTTCGAAGGTACAAATTAACTTTAGTTAAAGATTTGAAAATACACAACAAACTTTGAGATCATATGAACACCAACAATAATACGACAATAGATTTTCGAATCAGAAAAACCCTACCTATTCCCAATCCCTTTTTAGTCGACCACCAATATAAAGAAAAAATATTCAAGATACAATTTACTTACCAAGAAATCAAAAACAGATAATCCAAGTATATCAAATGCCAAACAAATATGTCCATGATAATCAAACCAATCCAACAGGGTTACACATAAACTGTCAGGAACAAAAAGAAAAGAAAGAAGTAGTGCAGAAATTCAAATAAATCACAAATGAAAAATATAACATGAATTATTAGTTTATAATAAATGAATGAATAGTTGTAATGGCAATTAGATCAACATCGACAATACACTAATTGTCTTTAATTAGTTTATTTTAAATGAATAACAAATACTGAAAAAAACTTCACATACATACACACAAACACTAGGAAATATAATAAACAAAGAAAGAAATGCCACAAATAATGGATATGTATATATCCTTTCTTATACATTTAAAAAAATAGAAATATATATATATATATATATATATATATCGATGATGTTTATCGTACAGAACACAAATGTGAATGTGTGTGGGGGGGGAGAGAATGAGAGGCAACAGGGAATAATGATAAATCAACACAAATTTAATTAGCACAAGAATACAAAAACAAGCACTTAATATTTATCCACAAGGTAACATGTTATTAGTACATTACCATATGTTAAATAAATAAAGATTATCTTGATTACCAATGATAATTTGAATGGATTCATTGAACCAGAAAAAGCATACAATCTTATTGTCAATTAACAGTCATCATTACTTTATGTCGGAGATGAAATAAGATTCTCAATTGACTGACCGACTGTGGGCACTATTAAAAGTTATCAACTATTGAGCAAAAATAAAGAGAATTCAGCGAAGAAAATCTTATTTTCGATGAAATGATGTACTCAAGCTGTACATTTGCACTTATAGTTATTTGGCAAATATATAAGTCTATGTAAAAATAGAACAGATTGCAGCTGAAAATTACAAAATAAGACCAAAATATAATACAGAAGGGAATTAGAGTCAAGGAAGGAAGAGATTGGATGTATAGTTTTAGCACACAGAGTTCGAGCTTGATTTCATCTAAAATAAAATCTTTGCTGAATTCTCTTTATTTCTATTTAATGATAAAATGGATTATTTTAATTATTGTCTATTGTTTGTTTTTGAAGTATGAAGAGAATCGGTAAAAAAAAATGGGGGATTCAGAAAAACGTGTTCCATCCTATCGAGGACTTGTCAATTGGATGTGTATCTGGATTTCAGTGTTGGGTGTTCACATTCGGACTCGAGTTCAATAAGGTTATTTTCAAATATGAATGAGTTATCCAAATGATACAAAACATAGAAATAGTTGAAAAAATAAGTGGCTATGTGGACCTAGTATCTCAGTGGATAACTCATTGATGTTTGAAGCAAAAGGTACTGGGTTTAAGTGTTTGTATGAACATGAACACTAGGATACAGGTAAATCTAATTGATAAGTCCGAAAAGGAAAAAAATACGAATCCTTGATCCAACTGTAAGCCACAAATAATCTATTCTAATAACATGGTCTTTTGATTGATACAACTGCTTAAATACAACAGTAGAGAGACTTGATAAATTACTAAGTTTTATTTCTGGAGTGTAATGTTGAAGAATTAGTCGGAAAAAACTGATTCAAAACTAAATGGCGCTTTTGTATTTCAATATTATGTAGTGATAATCACTGGCTTCTCAACCCAATTACAATAAATAGCTGAATATATGGATTGTAAAACATATGATTTTATCTCTCAACTCAATATAATTCTCCACAGTTTGCAGGTTATAGACAAATTTACATACTATTGAAACCAATGTTGAGAACAAAACTGTCTAGAGTACCCTGTCAGAGTATTTGAACCACTATGTCTTTATAAGGCAATCACAGGGGAAAAATTCAACTGAGAAACCAAGTCAAAAAAGGAAGCTCTATATAATTCTTTCTTACATATTATTTAAAACATGTTAGTAACTGAATGAATCACCTCCATGTACAAATTCAAGGATGGTAATCGAAACTTTTCAAACATTTGTTCAATCTGAAGATAGTTGAAATGATGTGGAGTAACGGTGGGAAAAAACACCTTAACACAAGAAGTAGATGGTTTTTAACGTAGCTTGTGATTTACAACTCCAATTTCTAAATCATAAAAATAAGGATAGTAATTTTCTACATAAACGGAAAAATTGGTACAAAATACATAAGCGCCACATAAATCATTGGATGTTTGGGTTGGAATACTGTCCAGGTACTCAAACTGGAACCAATGGACGTCTTAGGGAGCCACTCCTCGAGTCTTTAACCTAGAGATCTAATCCACAAAGCAGTGGATAAACGTGAAGATATCCAGTCCCATGATAACCGATGACCAACAGCAAGTTGATACATCATTTGTTTCCTTAGGAATCTAGAGCCCATGTGCACCACTGGTTTTGAATCAGGGCTTTCCAACTCTCCTGTTCGGCTTCTCCATACCTACTAACTCGGTTTAAGCGCCGGATATTTGTTCTGCATCCTCATTTCGTAAATAACACCCTGTTTATGAGAATGTAGTGAATAGAAGTTCCCTGACAGTAGCTATATACACATGACCATATGATAGTAATAAATGTACATGAGTAAAATAAGCACATTTTACTTACTGTTCAACATTTGCACTACGTTCATTTAAGAAATTTAAAACATTGATTTCAAGCATAGCAGCTTCACGATATTTATCAACATTTTTGATAATTTTCAAAGCAATTCTACGATTTCTACACATGGGAAGAAGTAAAATGATCAAAGTAAAATATAAAAATAAGTTATAATTTATTATCGAAATGAAAACAGTAAAAGTATGATACACAAACCATGACAGAGAAATTGAAAATGCCTCATCAACGACTTATCAAGGGTGGAAGACATTTCGACTACACCGAATCATCATATAGTTTAAAAACATGTTACGATGGTAAATTGAAACAAAAAAAGGATTCAGATAACATACGGTGTGGCATAGAAGAATTGAATTCGAGTCTCATAAATGTTAAAATCATATTGTAATGAACGAAAACTCAATCACGGTAAACCGATTTATTGTTTATGCGAAATCACACAGTGCCATTGTAAACTACGAAAATCCTACATTAAATACTTCATTCGCATATCTACCTTAAGTTCTCCTTTACATAATCTACGATTCTTCCAATTCTGTTGTTATTCCGATCGCTTTCTGTTTTCCTTCCTCATCTTTTGGTAAGCACTCCACTTCTAATTCCTGTTAGATGCTACTTATATCTGTCCGCACCATAATATCTCATTAGTTCAGTGACTACGACGTCTATCAATTCAAACAATGCGACACTTCATTACAGAGATCGTAGTTGAAACATTCAAGCGACAGCATCATTGAACGAATATGATTTATCTTCTAGTCATATGAAAATAACGTAAGGTTATTCAGACTTAAAGCATTCAGCTATGGTGTAGAATCAGTGTATACATACCACTTCCTCTAACATTACAGCATAAAACGTCCACACTGTCAGAAAGATTACTAAGTGAAACAATTGATGACTGCATTTACGAGAATTAACCAAAAAAGATATGAACGGTTACTCATAAATAGAAAGATGACAACAACAATGACAATGGTAACAATAATGTTTATGTTGAATTAAGTGTTAATTAAACTTACTGTACATGATCTTTGCATTCAACAACTTTACCAAATGTACCTTCCCCAAGTGTCTTGACAATTTCATCTAATTGCAAAAAAGAGGAAACAATCATGAAAAAATTAACATGATTTGACATTCTTGATAATTACTAACAATGGGATATAGATCCAGCCAAGTGTCCACAGCTTCTGTTAGGAAATATCTACTTATTACTTTTAAGGCAATGGAAGTCTTTTACAAAAACGAGAGGTGGAAAAGAGGACATCTGGTGTTAAAACCATGTTGGTGGATATAAAAGCTTAACCTAGGGGAATCGGAAAACCCTGATACCAAACCAATCGTGTATGTTCACTCCAAGATCCTGGAGGGGCGAATAGCTTATGAACATATTCTAGGTCACTGGCAATTATGGGACGGTGTCTTCTGATAATTGGATTGGACCTTTAATACAAAGGTTTATCGGGTGTCCCTCTAATATGACCACCTTCAGTTTGGGCACATAAGTAGTATTTCAGTACACATATTTTGTTACACATTCCATTTCCGATGCCTACTTGTAACAGATTTTAGGAGAATAAGACATAAATACCTTCAGGTTTACAACACGTTTGACACATGCTTCAACCTACCAGAAAATCCTGGTACTAACCACAAGCAAATCTTTTAGTAAATAACTTCACACAAACTTTTTAACATAAACAAACGTCAGAAAAAAACTATTAGAAAAATGCTGTGACTGTTTTAAAAAAGAAAACTCTCAAAATGAATTCATTTCTAATAAATCATATACATGAAAATAGATAATGATGTAAAAAGATGGTATGAAAATTTTACATACAAAACAGTACAGTGTGAATATTATTAAGTGGTAAACTCAATATTTTGTTAGTGCCAACAAATAGAGAGATAGTGTGTGAACAAATTAAGATTCAAAAGAAGTATCTCTTAAGGTACATAGCTTTTTTTCAGTTGAATTATTATAATGATTTTCATTCAAGATATGAAATGGAATGTACCATAAATAAGCATTCACAGTTACTGGGAATAGAAACAATTTGCTTATGAGAACAATAATAAAAACAACAGACTGAAATCTGAATGAATATATAAGAACGATTTCAAGTTATATCAATCTAAAGTAATTACTAAAACTCATATAAAACTGCCTTCTCGCGGCGGGGGTTTTGTTTATGAAATTGAGAAGACGAAAAGTGAATATCCGGTGCGTCAACCGGATTGGTGGATATGGAGGATACATCTAGGGCGGTTGGAAAACCCTGATACCAAACCAATGGTGCACATGGGCTTCAAGATCCTAAGAGAACAATAGGCGTATGAACCAATCGCTGGTCACCGGCTACCATGAGACTGCATCTCCTCACGATGCTCCACTGCCTTATGGATTAGACCTTTAGGTCAAAGGTTCGGGTTGTGCCCCCCTAAGAAAACCACCTGTTTCGGTTTGCCCACCCAGTATCCAAGCCCATATGTTAATTTAAAGATAATTTATGTGGGACATACATATCTTGGCGCTTTTTTGTACAAATGTTTATGGTTAAATAAATGAAATAAATAGAAACCTCAAAAAACATTGTTAAAATCTTGCAAGGGGTAATTTAACATATTTGTTAAATTTTATATTTTGATGACTATTTGCCAATAACAATAACAATGTACACAGAAAGAGGATCCAGATCTAGGATTCCATTAGATGTTTCAAATTATTAAGGACATTAGTATTGTTTAATACATTTTCCGGTCCTATTAAATAATTCTCTCTTCAGGAACAGTTTTCGTTCGGAATTTTCATCAAGAAACAATCTTACTAAGATATGAATTTACAAGAATATATAAGCTATCGTTGACACAATTCATCAAGTATATATTTATGTATTATAGTATGAGACACGTTCTGTCTGTGAAGCCTATAATAATACACGACTTTGGGAAGAGAAATAATCGAAGTGAGATTGGAACCTGAGATCTATTGGCCGAGAACTTAATACCTTAATCACAAATAAATCATCACAAACACATGTTAGTTACAAGATGAGTGAATAAGCACACGAAATTGTCTGTGACTGACACAATAATATCAACAAGCAGACCTCTTATTTAATAATAATAATAATAATCCATAGTTGAGTATATCGAACAGAAAAACACAACAATATGTACACAAACGACTTACATCGATTCAATAAACGATCACCAATACTATAGATCAGATGACCGTCAACATCATCGACAACTTCATCATCGTCTTCTTCTTCAGGAGACTAAGAAATAAAAATATACAAGAATGTCACATTAAATTATTGAAAATACTTAGAAAACAACAAAAATATGTCACCTAACTAATTCTTTTACTTATGAATAAGTCTACAGGTATAATTGAAGTGCATTATTTTAAGATAAACATTTATATAACAATCATGAGTTATTTAGAAATGTAGATTAGTATAATCTTACACATTCTCCATTATCACCGTTGTAACATGCTAGTTATTAATGTCTAATCATAAATATGGATTGTCGTATTTTACATTGATATTAAAGAGGGCAAAAAAAATGGTTTTTCGACGGAATAACAGAATAAGAATGATACAAATACTGCTAATAACATACACATGCAACCATTTATAAATTTCAATTGCTTGATCAAATTTTTGTACATGTAGTAGATGTACGTCGTTAAATTTCGGGTTAACTGAAAACATTTAAGACATGTAAAGTATTGCATGAAAAAAGTAATATCACAATTAAAAGGTTATTTCATGGTGATATCCGACATAAATTCTTAAGAACCTGTAAGTGTTTGATAAGAATAAGTATTTCTAGAGGCTATCAGATCAAACTCATTCATCATGTACAGGTGTACTCGAATAATTTTTAGCCAAACACTATGTGACAATCTATGTAAACTGTAGTACATGGAGTGAATCAATAGTCTAATAGACATTAATTATTAACCGTGACAGATCATTAAACAAAGAGAGTATAGAACACACTTTGAAATGTATCCTTCGTAATCAATATAACTTTTCATTTAAACATTCTGTACATTAGAGAATTCGATCTTTTTGAATTTATCAACATTGTTTTTTTTTTTAATAAGAACATTCAGATGAATAAATACACAGTGATGAACTACACTAAGATTAGTACACAAAGGATCGTTCTATGTATAAAGCAGAATGATTACAAAAATGTAAAATGTACAGGTCATAATAAATAGAATAAAATAAAATAATTAATCATTACTCTATACATTTGAACTAACTTCGCTCTATACATAATAATATAGAGTTGATAACAAAACACCAAACCTACAATCATGTTTATATGTAACATAACAATGGTAAACTACTCGATGGAATGTATACAACAAATTATAACTTGCTTATATTCATATAATACTATACTATAAGATATATCAATATAAAATAAACAACATTACCACTTATAGGATAAATAAAAATATTTAGAAAAACCAAAGAAATAAATTCACCTCAGCCTCTTGTCTTAATAATAAATTCTCATTTAAACTTTCAGTAACGCTAAGTTTCCTAAGTTCAATAAATCGTTTGGCACGTTGTCTGGCAACAGCTAATCTCGAGGTAGCTTGATCTTGAGTGTCTTGTGTCAGTGAATCACTATTATTGTTAACTAATTTACTGGCATAATGATTATCAATACCGTTACCATTAATAGTATTATTATTATTATTATCATTAGCAGATGTATTAACAGTATTCATCATATGATTCTCGTTTTGTTGGTACGTCATAGATCCATCTATCATTGCATTTTGTCGTATTGCACAAGCGACTGTAGCTGCATTTATCTCTTGTGTTTTTTGTGTACGACGAAGTTGTCGTCGGAGACGTCGACCAACTGTTTCACACTCAGAATCCTCATCTTCATTATTTTCATTTATTTTGTTATTCTCTTTCTCATCAATTTCATTGTTGGAATTCAAACAATTTTTCATTGATCCATTATGTAGGTTATTACTTTTAGTATTAGTATTTGTTACGTCATTGGAATTATCCAGCCTTCTTAAATAATTGCCTGACTTTATGTTAGAACATGACTTGAAAGTAAATGGACCACAAACGATAACTGATGCTTTGCATGGAGGACTGAAATATTCTACTCTCTTAGTAAACCTAACATTTGTTGCAGTATATCCATCGCAAATAATGCAAACAGTAAATACAGCTGCAGGATGATCCGGTAAAGTTTCAGTACAATCCACAAATTCACCATCTATTGGCCAACGAAATCTAGGTGAATTAGCACCAAAAACTAATGGATTGTTACTAGTTGTAGTAGAACGCATACGTCTTAATGGAACACCACGAGATAATGGTATTAGATAAGGCATATATTCTATCACACTAGTGAATAAACTGAGTCTATACAAAGATGGCTGTTGCTTTTCTTCTCTCTTATTAATTATACAAGTAGATGATGAAGGAGCCTGTTCTGTATCCAACGAGAAATAGTTTGAACATCGTTCACAAACAAGACGTACGTCATTGGTCTGAGTGGCCGTGCTTGCCGTTGGAACTTGTTTTTGACATAATTCATGCTTTGAAATTGGTTTCAATGTAACCAAACGACTGCCAGAAGTAAGTGCCTTAAGTAATTGGTTTACAGGAGATTTGACTGAAGAAGATGATGTAGGCAATAGATCTCCAGCACCAGCCTCATTTCCATAAACTGGTGATTCTGGAGACAACAGAGATGATGAAGTGGCCAACAAAATGATCCCTTCATCATGTTTCACTGCACATCCATCGTCTTCTGTATCAAATACATCATTGTCTGAAGACGCCCCACCAGTATCATCTTCAAAATCTGGACCATTAAAACTAGAGGTAGCTTTTTCAAGTTTACGTAGCAGCGCTGCATTCACCTCATCAGCTTTAACGCCATAAGTAGGTTTGATTGTGCGTCGTGTTGTTGCAGGTTTCCTATCAGCTGGTGGAGAATAAGAAGACTCTCTAGATGCTGCGCTTCCTACACGTAATCGACTTAAACCATCATTAATATGACTATTACCAGTACCACGAACTGCAGACGCTAAATTTGGATTCGCAGGAACTCTTGGTGGACGAGTAGATGAAGTAGACATAATTGTTAAACTTTGATTAGTTTTGGGAGAATTAATGTAACCTAACTGATTAGAGATCAATGTCAACTGTTGAAAAAAATCAGTTATGTAAGGTTCCAATAAAGAAATTGAATCTGATGTTGTTAATAATTGAATATTCGATAAGTTATTGAAATTGTTTGATGAATTTTCTGTGGAATTTATCACAGGATTTGGTTTATAATCGGACAATAGAAGTGGATTAGATAAATAAATAGATTGAACACTATTTTTAATTGTTTTACAATAATGATAAACTATACAATCTGTAACTATAAGTAAAACATGATAATGTACTGACTGTGTAAAATAGAGAAAATCTTGCTCAGAAAGTGTCAAATTTATCAGTTCAACTAGTAAATATGAATGAGAGGGATGTAATAAGTTCGATGCATATTCCAACAAATGAAACTGATTATCTATAATTTGTGAATAATTATGCAAAGAGTATTCAGGTGTTTGTTTCGTTAGTGTCCTAGTGTTGTTCTCTTTTAAATTGGAAGATGATGTGCAAATAGCGATAGGAAGATAACAATTTGGTACTAAATGCTGTAGACAAACAGGTTTAACAGTACCAACAGAAGGTTCTACAGAAGTAATTGAAGTTATTCTTGGCACAAAATTAGAAAATTCAGTTGATAAGGCAGAAGAGGTTGGATTAAAACTCGCACGATTTGATGACTGTATGCAATTAAGTGATGAATGAACTACTGATGACAATTCTTGTTGCTGTAAATTATTTGTAGAATCTGATGTACAATGATTAAAATCAGATGACGAAAATGTGTTATCATAAATGGGTGAATCTGATGGCTGACCTTGGTTGGTAGGTCTGGCCGGATAACTTGTTTTTTGCCCCAGTTGGAAGGTGAATTTAACAAAAATTGATGTTGAAAATATATATATTTAATCCGAAATTCAACTGTCATGTATACCAACAATAAAATGAATGACACTATATAGACATTGTGATGTGATGATAGAGATCGACGTAACCAATCATAAACATAGAAGTGAGTGAAGGAGGATATTGTGTTATTTGAAAATTCAGAAACGTTACACCAATAAGTACATGTACAAATGAATTGTTGATGAAGTATATTAAAGGTGCGCAATAGGGCAGATAAATTCTATGCGAAACCGAATATCATATAAGAATAGGCTGCACAACAAGTTCCAAATTACTGCCGTCAATCAGATCCGATAAGATAGTTTTGTTTAGTGGTAGTAATATATTTTTTCTAGACACACGCAGAAAAGTTGAAGAAAACACGCACACCAAGTGTACATTCACAAGGTTCGGACAAATACAAAATCAATCTGTTGACATTACTACGTGTTAACGCACACACACACACACAAGTATAATCACGCATACATGAACAAAATCAGTAAAACACTGTTTCCTGAGGAGCAGAAAAATATTTGCACAAACTAACCCACTTATCACATTTTTTTCATTTTACATACCGTGGGCGTAGTTAGGAAATTAAGGGAGCTATATACAGTCTAATTCATTTGCCCACATAATGATTGTGATTAAAAACAAACACAAAATTGTGTAGCATTTAGGCAGCAAAACATATCCTTGAAACAGTAGTTTACTGCATGTCATAAGATTGAAGGGGAAAAAAAGCCTCCATACAATATATAACTAATAAGAATTCACTTAGTCGACTGTATTGATGGAGATGAAGAGAAGAACTGGTTTTGCCACATGTTGACACACACACACAGAGGGAAGAACAATCAATTGACATATTGAACCAGACATAAAAGCAAATCAAGAAATTGGTCAAAGGATAAATAAGTAATCGATTATCATTATTATTGGTAATAATGACTATATTATGAAGTAAAAATTAGTTTCAAAAATAGATCATGTAACCCTAGTAAAAAAAATTATTTGTAACCTACATATAGAAGAGAAACATCATAGAATACTTCGTAAAGTTGTTCACACAAAATATACTGAAAAATAGTGATAATCACCGAAAAATTAGAAATCCCAGTTTTACATTGGATACAGTATCCTGAATCGTCCAACAATGGTATCAGTAATAAATAATGAAACTTTTAGTCAATCAATTCATATTTTTTATTATAGAGGTTTTTGTGGAGATTACTGAATTTCATAATTTCAGTGAAAAACTGTAACCATTAGAGTGTAATCAACTCGAATGTGAAGCAATTACACACTGCTAGCACGAGATGTCTGTACCATAAATGAAGAAAAATTAACTTATTCATCTGGGATTTGAATATAAGCCACACTTTAAGTGTGAGGTTAAATGGTACTACCTAGTTGACCAATCCAAAGCAAGTGGAGCGGGGACTTAGTGGTTGTAAGTCGGATACTTTAATTACTAAATTCATTACCTCAATGACTTAAGGAGAATAATACTAATGGTTATATATCATAATAAATACTAATTATTTATCATTACACCTTATGTGCTCCCAAATGCCCTGGTACGGTCGAGAGTGGGGAGAGTCTGCTCTCCCTCTCGAAATGCTCTCACATGGCCACGCGTATATAGTCTCTGCCTTCTCGTGGAGGGGGTTTGTTTACGAAAATGAGAGGACGAAAAGCGAATGTCCGGCGCTTTAACCGAATTCCAAACCAATGGAGCACATGGGCTCTAGTATCTTGAAGGAACAAATGGCGTATGAACCAATTGTTGGTCACCGGCCTCCATGGGACTGCATCTCCTTACGATGTTCCACTGTCTTGTGGATTAGACCTTCAGGTCGAAGGCCCAGGGAGTGGCCTCCTAAGAAAACCACCTGCTTCGGTTTGGGCACCCGGGCAGTATCACAGCCCTCACACATATCGAATGAGATTTGTGTGGCGCATATGTATTTCGTGCCTCCTTGTACCAATATCTATGTGTTAAAATAAATAATAAATAAATAAATAAACACCTTATGATTTTATTTTAGTTCTGATAAGCAATAAAACAATTCCAAATGGAAAAGTGCAAATCTTAACTTTAAATGAACTAAAATAAAAAATCGTTCAATCTACCCAAGTGACAATTGATTAAAAAGAGCAATAAAAAATAATCATGAACATATTGATTCCTAACAAAAAAAGAAGTATGGGGGTTGTGGAGATTGTTAAGTTTTTGGTTGAGATCATGAATTAATTGATGTTAGACCACCGTTGGAAACCTGGAAGCACTGGACGGCCGTTTCGTCCTAGTATGGGACTCCTCAGCAGTGCGCATCCACGACCCCGCAACCAGCAGGATTCGAACCCAGGACCTACTGGCTTCGCGCCTGAGCACTTAACCATTAGACCACTGAGCCGGCATCCAATGGTGTTAGTGTCTAACATCAACCAATCCACGAAATTGCGCGACCACTTTCCATTGTACTGAGGTAGATACCTGTCTCTACCCATACTGATAATTAACATGTGCTCACTAGTGACTAGCTTCGTGAGGGAATTCTCGGAGTTCTAGCGAGAAGTCGTGACCAGTGGAGCTAATCCGTGTCGGGTAGAGACAGGTATCTACCTCAGTACAATGGAAGTTGGTCGCGCAATTTCGTGGATTGGTTGATGTTAGACACTAACACCATTGGATGCCGGCTCAGTGGTCTAATGGTTAAGTGCTCAGGCGCGAAGCCAGTAGGTCCTGGGTTCGAATCCTGCTGGTTGCGGGGTCGTGGATGCGCACTGCTGAGGAGTCCCATACTAGGACGAAACGGCCGTCCAGTGCTTCCAGGTTTCCAACGGTGGTCTAACATCAATTAATTCATGATCTCAACCAAAAAAAGAAGTCATAAATAGTGTGTGTGATGATATATACAAATTGTAAGTTGGCCTGTTAAAAATAGAATGTATACTTATCACGATAAGAAAATGTTGAAGTTATTGTGACGCAGGAGAGTATTGTTAATTTTATAAATTGAAATGCATGATATCTATTACATTGAAGATTCTTTCAAGATAAAGCATTAGAACAGTTTTTTCCATACATTTGTATTTGTAAGAAAGTATGGAAATGAACTTAAAAATAAAGATTATGTTTTCAAACATTATCTTGGAATAGTACAAAGATGCTACCCTGTCACAAGAAAATGTTCCAATTTCTACAAAAAAGGCTTAAACTGATGAAAAACACAAACACAAAATATTATAAGGAATATATATATATATTCGGTGTATGATGAGAATGTCAAATTCCTGACATACAGCTTCTAGGAAGAAACCAATTTTAAGATTTATATAATGATCTGAAGTGAATTCATTCGGTTTTCAAATGTATATTTTATTGTCTGCTTTAATTAATTTTTCTTGGGACTTCCACAATACATGATTCTTACAAGACGTCCTAGAGCATTGCAGTATTGTGTACTAGCTAATCGGTTTATCTAGTCTGCATAAACTTTGTTTCTTATTAAATCGAATCTCATAAATTATTCGTAATTAAAAAAAAAATACTAAAAACTACCTCAAATCACAACATTGAAGGAATACATATACAGTTGTCTTAAGTAACCAGAATATACATCAATAGAGATGATCGAAATTTATAATGACAAACATTGAATAGAGTTTCAGTTGATAAAAATTCATTGGTGTTAACCTAGACATTTTCAATGCAATTCGATCTACTTTCTGATGATCACTGCATACATCAATATTGACGTGATCAAAATTCATAAAACGTAGAAACTAATAACACCAAAAAATATCAATATATGTACACACTAACTGGATCGAAGTTAAGATACAATTCGAACAAGGTTGAACTAAATCACTAGATATTATGAACCTTTACTGACTAGGATCATCGAAAAATTAACGAACACAGACTGCAGGACAACTATTAACCTTGATCAGCAATGATTAATCAAAAAATAATAATAAAACCGAAGATAAAATTGGGCAATTTTGAAGCATTCGATTATGACTAAGTGAGATGTGTCAGGAACGATGAGAAGCTAGTGAATTTATGATCTAAAAGATTTACTAGATAAACATGTACACATAATCAGAAAAATCCAAGAAACTCAATGATAAAGAATAACTCAAATAATTGATTGACTCACAGATGAGCTACTTGAAGAATCGGAATTATGAGATTCAGAGTCTCTAGACGACTCATGTTGACTATGATGATGATGATCTGCACGCCGTGAAGTTGTTTCAGGTGTTTTTAAAAGTGCTTTGGAACTGGAAACTTTAGTTGAATAGTTATTATTCACCTTTTTAATACTTTTAGGACCAGGCTCCCATACAATATCTGTTTGTTTTTTACGCGCATTCTGGTGATGATGATGATCACTTGATGCCCCAACATGTTTTCCAACTCTGCCGATAGGTGATTGACTCGAAGAGGTAACTGGTGGGCGAAAATTTCTCGAGTTGCCACTTTTAGACCAATGTAATTTTGAGTCATGTACATCTGTTTTAATGTGTGAATGTTTTACAGGATAATTCCTAGAGGCGTAATTTTGTCGCATACCATTAGTATCCTTGTTATTGGTTGTATGTCCAAAACGAGGTGGTCTCGATCGAGATGAACTATCAGTCATATCAATATGCATAGTTCCAGATTTAAATGACTTACTAACATAATGATCATCGCGAGTATGACGTTCATGAGCCATTGTTGACCAAGAACTTTCTTCTCGTTGATTTTTTATAGAACTCGAACGCCTGTAGGGTAAAATATATTTATAACCAATAATATTTCAATGAACGTATGGAATATGAGTAATAATCTCTCAACATCCAATATTATAACAATATGAGTGTTAGTTATGATACTCGGAAAAACTTCAACAATATCCTGCTTATAAAAGAATGACATGTACACTTGTTTGTACACAGAACTATAGAACTCCAAGTCCCACTCTTTACTGATTATTCCATTTCCCAAAAATAAACTAATCTATATGACAAATCTCAAAAAAAAAATTTAGTTATGTATGTTTTAGTGTTGTGTGAACTGATAAACATTTAAATGAGACAATCGAGTCGATGATAGAGATGTACAAATAGTTAGCGACTATCCATCAACAGATTTGACAACTCGCAAGTGTTTCATACATCAGAAAACATCTAAACATGTGGGACAATTAACAAATAATAAAAACATACATGACCAAGTCAACAGATAAGCATTTAACTGTATTTCCGCGATGACAGTTTCTCAACGATTCACATCGTAATAATATACCAATTACTATAAAAATAATCTATGCACAACGAATAGATAGCATGATTATAGAGCAATTAGTATTGTTTATTATCCTAACAAGCTGCACTATACCAAGTGTATTTCATTATGTTAACAGGGCTGAAAAGATATAACTGATGGAAATTAATTCAAGACACCAATTCAACCTACTGAAAATTATGTTAGTAATATCTTTAGTCTAGTTGAAAAACAAAAAAAGGCAATAGCGTTGGAAATTTGTCAATACTATGAAGCAAATCTTAAATTAAATATATGGTCTACTCAACATGATTGTTCTATTCAAAACAATCAGAAAAACACAAGTATATATGATAAACGCAAAAATAACACAGGAGCATAGATTATGTTTGAAGCTCACCAAAATGGAAACTCCATAAATGGGTACAAATACAGACATATATGTCAGCTTATATTCATGTTAATATTGTAAGTTATAACACAAACGCAGTAAATAGTTAGAAAACCATATCTACCTGGATGTTTTCGAAGTAACTTGCCCATGAAAAACTTTCTTGTTCACTGAGTGATGAGAGTTTGGAAGCTGAGGATGTCGTAAAGATGAAGAGGGAACTTCATTGACATAACCTTTTCTTGATCTCCATATTTTAGTTTCAAGTTTTGTACTCGTTGGCGGAGAAAGCAAAGCACGTTTACGGTTGTTATTAAAATGTTTTTCTTCAATATTACGTTCAATCCGGTTTTTAGACTGCCCATATTTGCGAGTATTCGATAACGATGAATCAGGAGTACATGGCTTTCGCTTGGAATGTTTGTATTTGTTCTCCATCACTCTTTCTTTATTTCTACGATTTGGCACATTGCGATCAGTACTTCTTGAAGAAGTGTAAGAAGAAGTTGGAGAACGAGAGGACTGTCTGCGCACATTTCGATTACCTGGTGTTGAGCTCTCATCCTCAGAAACGTCAGAACAACCATCTTCACCACGTCTCAAAATGGATGACTCTTTAGAAGAGATATCTTTGAGATCTGATGAAGAATCACGGTAACTATAAACCGGATTCGATATTTCTCTTCTATTGTTGTCATCGATGTCATCACCAGAATCAGAACTTCTATGGCACACGGATGCAGACAGCTTTTTCTTCTCTTTTAAAGAGCGGGTTTGTCGATTGTGATCATTGTTATCACTTAGTTTTTTTGGTTTCGGTTTGATACCTTGCCGTCGCGACCTCGACTGATTATGTCTACCTCTGTCTTGTGATTGAGACGTTGATGAATGACGTGAAGAACCAGATGATATTACTTGGATCTTGTTATTTCCTGGAAGATTACTTGAACTTGAGCGAATGTGACAATATGAACGAGAGGATGATGAAGATGAAGTGGAAGAAGATGAACTACGAGGAGAAGGAGCAGGTGGAGGTTCAACATCACCGGATGAATGTGACCGATGTCGGTCGGTTTGATGAGGATTTGCATAGGCTGCAGGTAGTGCACGGTTTTGTTGATCCTATTCAAAAGAAAATAGTTTTCTTTATACTTCAAGAGTATATGGAAATAGTAATTAAATCAAGATAAGTTATTGTGGAATACACCACATTTATAGTTATCATTTAAAAAATAATGTGATTCGTTTACGTTAGATTAAAAACATGGGATTCAAAATATTTTCATCCAACAAGTTAATATGGACATTTATACATCTGTGATGATAGTATAGTGCGCAGTTACGATTCTTAATAGGGGGTTCTCAAGTTATTTGATAAAGGAAGAATACGTTGCAAAACTGTAACATGTCACCATTTAGGAAATGACCAACCAAGTAGATTATTCTACTAGAATAATCGTGCGGTTTAAGTTTCATAAAAGTCAACAGTGTACAATGAGAACTTGTGTGATGTTTTATTTAGGTGACTAAGATCAATGGTAAATGACCGTCATGAATCAATCCTATATCTTGGTACGACATTACTGAAATAATCTTTTTTTCACTTTGGTGCTGTTACGAATCACTCGGTCATTCGGAGAACATAATGATTTGAACAAATACATTGCAGATCAACGTCCAAACGAGAATAGTGGGATTGAAAAGTACTATGAAACAGTAATAAGCTAAAATCAATTTTTTTCGAATGAACCAAAATTCTAAAAATTATCTAAACACTTACCGAACTGTCACTGCTATCACCAGTATCATCGCTACGAAAATTTGCAAACTGTGATGATTGGTTGGGGGAATTATCTTCGTAGGACATGCCTACATTGGAATGTGTAATATGTCGATTTGTAGATCTCTTTCTTTTATTGGAAGTATTACAGACATTTGGAGCTCCATAAGAATTTGACCGAGAAGTAGATGCGGAAGTGGATGAGTTGGAACAGTTGGAGCTGTGATAATCTCGACTATGCATTATTTTAGTATTATGCTTTGAGGAGCGTGTCTTCGGTGATCTGTTATTTGACGATTGAGAATTTGTACACACAACAGGTTTTCTTACAGATAGATTTTCATTTGAATTCGATGAATCCAAACAGCGACCTGATATGGAACTAGTTATCTCATTTTGTCTACGCGTTTTATTATTAAGAGAACTTCTGGAGCAAGATTCACGGGATAAATCATAATGTGAACATGTACCACCAGAATCACCTTCATCCTGAGAAGATAACGGTGGACTAGACGGTGTTCTAGGACCTCGTGGAACACGCGAGACTGGTTTATTAGAATTTGTATCTGACGGACCAGGCGCATCATCAGGAGACATATATTTGTTGCCTTTACGGGAGAATTCTTGTTTGTCTGATACTGGTTCCTGTTCTTTTTTCATTTTATCTTTCACTTTACGTGTTGTTGAAAATTTCCCTGAATGCTTGTTCTTTGGGGTTTCAAACATACATCTATCTGAAGATAGTGGTCTACAAAGTTAAAGGCACATCATAAAGATGATCAAGCACTTAAGTTATGAATCTCCAAGTAGACTAACTACAATACTTTCATAGGTATAACTATGATTTCTACAAAATGTATACACTATTTAAAGGCAAGATGAGTTCTACAAAATTATACTGAACCCTAACCCTAACACACGTAACTGTAATATGTTCCCAGTTTTTGACAAAGTTTAACGCAACTTATCGGACAGGTATAAATGCACTACAACTAAACACAGATAATTAATAAATATATAAACATAAAATCTTATAGTTTTTTTGCTGCATAAGTGGTTTAGTCGTACTTGTTAAGTGACTCGAAGGTGGCAAGTCAAATCGTGTGTGGCGTTTGACCATTAATCAAAATCTTTCATTCATAAGACTAATAATGTAGGAAACATTTTGATTTTTGTAACCTTTGCTTGGAGAAGCTAGTTGGATTAATTCACAAGATTCTTACTATTTAGAAAGGCATTATTTCATGATTAATGTTCTAACAACCAAATCACTTCGTTAGTTGCTACTGATGCACATTTCTAGAACATATTACTCAATTTACGCAGGTTGGTAACGTACTAAACTTGATTTTATCAGTACTATTAAGCAAACTTAAATAAACCAAAAAGATTTCTGCAGACAAAAAAACTACAGGTTCGTTAGTTTACTTACCTATTAACAGATTTGCGTACTACAACATTAGACTGATAATCTGAACCAGAAGAACTATTACTTTCAGTGTCCGAGTCATCCCCATGTCGAGTTTTCATGTTGTAATTTTTATTAAACGTGGAACGAATTTCCCTGACATCACTTCTTATTTTGGAGTTCTCATGTTTACTTCGTCCAGACTTAGGTTCTGATGACTCAGATGGAGGATGGCAGTTCAACTTTAAACTATTTATTTGTTTCTGAATTTCAATTGGGTTTGGTAAATTAAATAGATCACAAAATGGTGGAGCGAAATCAACAGGAGGACATCTTAGAGTATTTAACAAATTCGATGGATTCATAGACGGAAATAGAGATGGACAAAGACCTGACATTAGTGCAGCAGCTTCCAATACATTTGGAATATGAGGTGATGTAGCACAACCAGGGAATAATGATAAATCATTACCAGAGTTACGAAATCTTAAATGTCGTCTATCCACATCCACTGGTGTAGGTAAAAGTGGTCCACGTTCATGATCAAACCTAGGGTGGAAAATATGAGATTTAGTCAATGAAATAACGTTTGTGGATCTAATCATCCTTATGTAAAATGACTTACTCAGTGGACGTAGGAAGTAAAGTGTCAGTAGGCAGGACTTCAACATGTCGTCTCTTGCCTTCTGCTGCAACTCGGCTAAATGTCGACGATGTAGAAGTTTTCTGTACCTTTGAAGATTTTGATTCTGATAAATTATTCGCCTTTTTCTGGTTTTGTTGATTTGAGCTAACTGTTTCACGTGAGCTGTCAGCTTCGTTTTCGCTTGATGATTCTTCAAGTACGCCTTCATTTTCTTCGCTTTCCTCACCATATGTATCATCATCCTTAGCCTCACCTTCTTCAACAGATTCAGTTTCATTCGGTGACACTGCTTCTGTGGTGCTAACTTCATTATTAGCTCCGAATGATTGTTTAGACTCAGTAACAATTTCAGACGTATTTGATGTTACTACTTTGGAATTATCTTCGTCATGAACTGACTCCTCTTTCTGTCTGGTTGACGTAGTAGTTTCAACAGTCGAGCCTAGTTTAAGAAAATATTGACCCAAAAGTATGAACACTTTCTAACAATCCAAATATAAAACATCAGATATGAAAGTAATAGTCAAGTAGAAAAATGATTTACAAAGCAGTTTTATTGATTGATTTAACAAACAATAAGCAAATAACTTGATCTGTACGCTGAATATTATATCCTATGGAAGAACATTATTGATACAATTCCAAAAAGGAAGAAATAAACAGCTACCAATATACGCGAATGTAATCGAAATCGACATATACTTCAAAAATTATCACCGATATGACATTCTTGATTAATCAGTCACTGTGAACTGGTGTTAATGTGAAACAAGTTACTTAATAATTACAAGTGACTGTAAACGCATCAGTACAAAAGCAAAAAGAACACAGTAATTATGCATCCAACATCTAATTATCACAGTAATGATTACGAGCTTTCCAGTGATCAATAAAATTTGAACGAATGTTGTAAAGAGTTTATGGTACAAAGTGATTTTTTGTGACAAAAATAAAGAAATCTGCCCCCTATTAATTTAGATATTGACAAGAATTATGAATGAAGTGAAACAGTGAACTTCCATTGGCTCTCACTGGTCATGTGAGAGCATTTCGACAGCTGATTCTCTCCATGGCATTTGGGGGCTAAGAAGACAATATGAATTCGTGGGATAAAAAAATATACGGTGGTTTAGAAACCTAAGAAGAAAAACAGTAAGCGCACCAAAACCATGTCATACAGAGTATCTATCCATTGGTTACGAAAATAGAGAGGACCACAACGAGACAACCTGAATCTACTTATACAACCTATCCTTAATGCCAATAACTCAAGAGACTAGTGTCATGTATTGTTTTACCCACCCCTAACTTTCTTCAAAACTACTCCCTAGACAAAACAACGTTGCACGTAAAGGTTAGTGGTGATTGGGCATACGTAATAAATATCTCAACTAACTCACTTTAAAATTTACAGCCTCATCAATCAATATGTCATCTTTACCTAGTACGTTTCATCTAATCTCAACACTGTTCACTCAATTGATAGTCCCAACATACACCAGTGATGCTTCAGAGGTATCTACAATCATATACTAATACTCCACAGATATCCTCTATTTCCAAAGGTGAAATGTTGTAGAAGATATGTAATTTAAAGCAACTTAACTAAGATTGATAGGGCGAACCAAAAGGTGAATACGCTTTACTTAGAAAACTTACGTCTACGAACAACGCGTCTGGAAGATTTCTGTTGAATTTCATTATCATCATTTGCTGAGTTCCCTTTACAAAGCTGATCATTACTGACGTAATCTGGGCAATGGTCATCACTTTCTTCAGAAGTGTATTCTGTCTTTTTTACTTTGACAGGTGATTCTCTTTTTCTAAATCCTTTCCCTTTTGCAACTGTATCTTTCACAGAGGAACGAGAAGAGTCGTTTGTTCTATTAGATCGAAAAGTACGGGAATGTGAGTGTTGACGTTGTTCAGGTGAATGGGAAGAAACATTGGATGACTCATGCTTATGATATTTTTTTGGACGCCTTCCACGTATATTTACATCTCGGTTATGTTTGGAAAAATCAAAACTATTACCACTTGATAGTACCGATCCTATAGAAGTTAGATCCGATGGAATACCTGAATTGTTAGCAGCTGCAGCTGCAACAGCAGGTAGTAAGTCAGCATTGGGATAACTAAAATAATAAAACAAAATGGGATTATACCAATATATACCCACATTCATTGCAACTCGAGAAATCTTATTAAATAAACACGATTTGTAAATGAAGGTGGATATTTACTGACATCGAATGGCATTGAGTTGACGATAGGCCTAGCGAGTTTTAGGATTATACGAATGGCTACGTCTTAGACTAATGCTTGCAAAAAATTCCAATATTCCTCTAATAAATCTCATTATAGCACTCATTTGAAAGAGCAACCAGTAGTTTTGGAGGCCTTCCAGTTACTGTTTAACTATTCTTGCAATTGAACAAAAGTATCCCGAAGAAATACGTAACAACTTTAGCATCATTTCTTCTGGACTAGATGGTTTTATTACAGGTCTCATTGTTATGCTGTACAACATATTAAGCTCACACTTTACATAAGGTAGGCACTTCGCTTCAAATCTTTAATACTTCAATATATAACAATAAACCGTATGTTTCCATAAACTTCACAGCGTTATGACCGTTGATCTGCTGCTCTGACAAGACAGTAAATTAGAAACTGAGTCTGAAACAACTCATTTTTGAATTAAAAACGTGTGGTAAAATAACGCAACCGTAATAAACAAATGGGTTCGATTGTTAAATTACTAATGAAATGGAAGCGGATAAAAACTAGGACTATATTGATCAGCGAGAAAACTGGAGATCACACTATTTGACTATAGTTTTATTCCTTTGCTTAATAGTAATTACACAACAAGGTCATGACAAAATAATCACGTATATCGAGATTGTATTAAAAAAACTGTTATCAACTTAATATTGAGAAAAACGATCAGTGTGCAAAGAAACCATTTCGAATCCATTTGTAGGTTTTGACAACAGACAGGTTACATAGCATCAGCCAACATATAAAATCAAATACAAAGCATTCTCTCGACTTCCCTGCACTTTATAATAAGTACCTTACAACCATTATGAATATTACAAGTTTTATCAACAACAGTCACGCTGTTCCCATTACACGATGGCAAAAGTCGGCTAGGAATAGTTATCCTGTAGTTAGGTAATACATTGAGTCATTATCTTTTCACATCATAACACAAAAACTTGAATGAAAGTGAGTAAATAAGTAGCATCACTAGCCGTCAGTGTGATACCAACCTCGTATACATAAACCTGTACTTGGCAGACGAGATTCGTCACATTAGTTACTTGTGATGCTGTTTCCTGTCATACAAATGAGTATTTAATTACTTATTAGTGAGTAGGGTCTGATTATTGAAAACGGGTTCAGAAGAAACCAAATTTGTACCATTGTGTATTCATTACGAACAAAGTAGCATGATATTTTAGATAATAGTTTTAACTTACTTTGACAATGAGAGAGCAGTCGCCGTATAAGTTCGGTAGTACTGTTGATACATATGACTGTAATACAACATTAAAAGTTGCTCATTATCCATATTTTGATTAGCATTATTAACATCCAGCCTGTAGTTTTTGAATTTGTTGGGTACAGTAGCTTGATTGGGATCGTAACCTTGAAATCGATTCCCGTAACCATGTGGTCGAATACTTAACAGAGGATTCCTAGATAAACTAGTTACTTTACGAGGGACAGTTTTGTTTATTCCCAGATTCCATTCTTCATCGGAGTTATGACTTTCTGCACTAGGAAAGCCATAGCCGGGGCTTGACTTCCTTATTCGCTTTTGTTCTCCCGAATGATAGTTGACCGCATTACTGTTGCCACGTGAATTGTATCTCCGTTTGATACCAAGTCGTAAAGAAGTATCATGATCAGTATCCCGCACATGCCGTCTTATATCTGTTTTCCCCATATTTGCCGAATCATTGTAGCATTTTCTGAGCTGCAATTTATGGCGTGCATCTGAAGGGAGTAGAGGAACGTGTGAACTTGACGAGTAAGGCATGTGACAGGATTTCGGGACTCTGAAAAGCAAAGAACTATGATGAGAGGTACGAGTTAGAATTCAGAATTGATATAACTAAGAATGATAGAAGTGTAGTACCTGTTACTTCCTAGTTGTCCAAATGACGTAAGGTTTGACACCACTTAACTGACTCCTGTCTTATTAGCTTTGGACATGCACAACGTAGAAACTGAGATATGAGCATCAGTTCGAGTTGCCATACCATCAAGACGGTAGTACTTTCAATCGTCTGTTGCATATTCTTCTTAATGCACTTACTTTCCTTAATAATTGACTTTACGTATTTTTTATGGATAATGAAGAAGGCGGTAAATGCCAGTTTGTCAATAACCCCTTATCTATATATTAGGTCATATGGTATCCAAGCATAGATGTTTTGTGGAGACGAAAACACAATAATGGCATCTCAGTGCGTCTTAATAACGTTTAAATTCACGAGAAACGAAGTTAGACTACATAAATGATCGGAAATAATACCGACTACGTGTTCCTGGAAGTTACCGATGTAATAAAATTCGGAAATAATGTACACAATCATGAGCTGTCATACGGTTTGGTCATTGATTCTAAGCTTTTCCGACACTCCTTTATCAAAAGATAACCTGTTCGTTTATTGTTAGAGCCGCGAAAATAAGCTGCTGTGCCGTATACATGAATGAGGTATGAGACAAGAATCTGACTAACGAACCTAGCTGATAAACACTAACGAATTGAAGTATTTAGGGCGGAAAGATGAAACAGGAAGAGAATAACTCATAAAGTATGAGGTAAAAAGTCTTTAGACACATGAATAAGATGAAAATCAACGAATACTTCCTCCGTATATAAAAAAGCACGCTCATAGGCTAACGACAGTTCATCGGAATCTACTGTCCCCAAACGTAACACACTGACAAAACTGTCATAATAAAACGCAAGGAACTGACTTAAGCTCCGTTAATTGACGAAAAATATCTAACAGCAATGAATTACGAGTGCGAGATCCTTAAACATGTATGGAACATTCATTTACGTCCTAGTAATTTAAAATGTTTATCCAAACAGACTCAGTAGGAGAATTAAAATAGTGCTAAACGAGGGGAAAATTAGATGACCAAAGTAACAAATATAGGAAGTGATAAACCCCTTATTCTAATAAATTCAATGCATTTACTTGGTTAACTGTTCGCATATGATATGACGTCGTATAAGTGTAATTCAGTGAATATCTTAATTTCAAGCAATGATACACATTGATTGCAGTGTTAAAAATCATTTTAAAGAGTGTAATACAAACTAACTACTCAAAACCCTGGGTAAACTACTCACATTCATGAGATTCGAAAGCGCCGGTTTACTTTGTTCCGCATCCGGGAGGGAGAAGAAAAACAAATTGACTTAAAATCTGACAAAATAGACAATTTTTTTAATACATTTCATTAAAATTAGCACCTTTTCAAAAAATAGCTTTCTCATGGGTTGATTTTTAAATTCAACGTCCAATATTTGAGGGTTCATAACATTCACATGAGGTGTAGTGGACTGTGTATTTGTATGTCCTATCTACTGTCTATTTCTCACCACGAATCAGATGGTTAAACAGTACTACGATAAAAATTTGAATTAAATGCACTGATCTTTTTTAATTTTTTCTGTCGAGGAACAGCTACATACATTTAGCAGATTACCGTCACCTAAATGTGATAATTCGCCAATTGTAGAACTTTATTAATAAACAAAAGCTAGCTCGCCTTACATAAGTTTGTCGGACCCTTCTGAAATCTGGGCCATTCCGATGAACTTGCATCATCACCAGACAGTATTCCAGCTAATATAGCTCAGTCAGTAGTTAGCAAGAGGGTAATTGAGAACAAAAGATTTTGAGATAACTAAACATAAGGGAAAATCTTTATTCTTAGATATGAAAGCTCTGAGCGGGAAACAACACGGCGTTTGAGAGGAGTGTTCTTGTTTCATAAACATATTCATGGGCGAAAGAATGACGAAGGGTCAAAACACTGTAACAGGAATAAAGGTGTCGCCATAGCACTCACTACAGCCTCAAAAAATACATGAGATTAGGTGTAGTGCAAATAAGTTTAGAAAATGTTAACATGGGTTCGCGGACGTCAAGGTGGAATGTTTGCGGAACGAGGTGTAAATAAATAAATCTATATATCAAGGCGAAAAACCACAGACGCCATCACGTTTTCAGACCAGTTACTGGAGACGTTGAGCTAAGTGACAGCACTCCGTTCTAATCCTATGGATAAGCGCAAGGCTAATAGCAGATTAGTTTGTCAAATAAGGACCGGTAAATGATACAACCGGAGTAAATACTGCAAGCAGTAGTCATATGTAACTGAAGAACAGCTCCACTTTTTATAGTTTTTAGAGACCACCAGAGCTGTATGTGATATGGTGCCACTCAGCGACTCAGAGAAGCAAAGCCTTAGTCCAACATTAGTTATGCAACTTATATATACGTCCAAAGTGTAGACGTGTGAAAACCAGAAGTATTGTGGAACTATGGTCTACTATGATATTAGTACTGCTCTAATAATAGACCTAATCCTAAATTTGTAGATTTGTCATGATATAACTGCCTAATCTATAAGATCTTACGTGGAAGTCACACCATCGACTACACCAACTTACTGTATCGTATCAATTACCAATACATGATGTAGAACAAGGTTAGGCTAGAGAAAGAACAATATATTTAATATGAATAGAAGATATAAAGTAACATTGAGATGGACCACGCCTGCATGGACGAGCCATGCCACTCGATCAACTCCAGTCCATTCAACTCTTTATTCGCGCCTTCTCCATTCTTAGGTATTTATCCGCGTTAAATATTGAATATCTATTTTCTGAGTAGTCTCATGTTCAGCTTTGTGGATTGTGTGGCTATTGTCCAATGCCACTACACTACTCTCCCACCAGAATCAACGTGATGTTGGTTCGATACCAAATTGGATGGGATCGTCGCGCGCCGGAGGTTACCAAGGATAAAAAGAATCCTCCGGGTATTGGTAAGCTGAAAGATAAATCAAAAAGAAAGCGGCAGCATCTGGTCGGGAAATACATGTAATAATTTAAAATATCTGCCTTCATGCTTAAAACTCTTGAAATGAAAATTTGGGTGAAGATTATTTGAGCTATAAAAAATGGGGTTACAATAATAATAATAATAATAATAATAATAATAATAAAACGATGCGTGTTAATAGCCGTTGGTTAATAACTTAACTCATAGGTAGTATGTATTTTGTGTTTAGAAATATTAGTGATGAATATTGTAGAAATGTTAATATTGGTATTAGTTTTGGTTTAAATTATGAAATCAAATAACGATTATGCCGGTAAGTTGTCCATATGAGTTGAATTCCAATTGCATCTGTATTAGTAGGCTAACTGAAGGAACAAAAGTATACCGTGGAGAAGAATTCCAACTAGTGTTCCAGTTAGTTTGATACGGTTTATTTAGTTACGGGGAGATTTTCTCAACCTCATTTTTACTTGACCGTGATAGAATTTAGTAATACTACTAATACACATGAATGTTCATCAAAACAAAATTTAAATACGTGAGTGATGATTATATGAATTTTGGACAGATAGCTAGGAACAAATCGTTAAACATGAGTGTATTCGTAAGAGACATGCTCTAGACTCAATGTTCTGATCTGTGGCAGACTATTTATTTGTATTTATACTTGCCGGCTGATTGGGCATACAAGTTAGTTGCAAGTATGCAGTTTATTATAAGGCGGAATACGATTTAATTGAGATATAGTGGTTATAAATTATGAAAATCAGTTAAGCCTATGGGTCATATTACGAAGTGATGTGGTGCTGCAAGATGTATTTAGCTAAATAACTTTTTACAAGATGATTAATAGTGAGTGATGCTCATGTGATTATCAGGGAGAACATAAGTTGTAACCAGGGGGAGTACACTCCCAACTCATGTCTATGATAATGGCTTGAACCTTAGTCAGTGTTGGGGTAAATTCGACATTGATGTTTTCAGTTTGCAGGAGATTTACTCGACTGCTTATACTGATTATTTGCATGCATGATTGTGTCGCTAAACCATCAATTAGACTGACAAGGTTTTGAGATATTTACTGAATGAGCAACTGAGAGAGAAACATACTGTAATCATCTGTGAGGGATGAAGATACCAAGAAAACAACACCCATTAATGGTAATTATAAGTCAATTTGTTTACCGATTTCGTTAATAGTTTCATTAATTTTATCAGTCATATTACGTGATTGTCAATTTATGACAATGCTTTATGACGATATCCTGAAACTATTAAATTTAACTAGTTATAGTGTTGATTGAGGATTAGTCAGTGGAAAAATAGGTATTGTTGCTTTAAATGATTCGAAATCATCAGAAATTTATAACGTTAAAGAATCCGAGACGCCTAATTTAATTATAAATTTCAATTCAGAAATATTCGTTTAGTGTTAATTTAGTAGGCTACGCGGTTTTGATTTTAAACGTTTGTTTGGCCAACAGCTACATGGGGATTTATTTATTTTACTAGTGCAGTTGATAGTACTTAAATTTTTAATCTTATTATCTAAACTATGTTCGCATTTTAGACTGCTAATATGATAAACCAATCCATAAACCCAAATACGATTAGCAACAACGACTATGATGGGTTTATTGATAAATGTTAAAGGCGATTCAGATGATTTCTAAGTTTAGAAGACATGGAGATATAGTGTAACGTATGTATGGGCCAGGTTAACATGCAGGTTGTTGACGTATATGACGATTTAAAAATAATGAACATGACCAGAAAATAGTTTTAAAGTTTAGACTGCTTGTGAAACTTCAGGCAGGAATATGATGCGTTATAAACATTCCATAAGGAGTTACTGCATTTAGCCTAGGGACACTTACAAATATATAGCAAAAGGAACCGGAAAACATATACATGTTAAGTAAAAAAATCATTAAGTAAAATAGTTGAACTCGCCTGGGTTATTTTTGAAAATTAGATTATTCAGTGGACGACATATATAACGCCATTCGTGAGGAGTAGTAATGATCCAAAAGTATCCAGAATAAAACATGCAGTATGGCAATTAATCCTAGGGTGCTTGATGCTGTTGACGTTTTTGCCACTCGCTCGGATTAGAACAACCGAATGAATTCAGATAATTGTGCGGTCACCATTGAACGAGCCATCTAAAATGACCTTATGATTGCAGAAAACTTATGGCTGAAACTCACCGTATGTTTTTAGGGAAGTGCCATCCTTGTTGTTTGGCAATGGAACTCGAAAATTTGAAATTAGGCAGGCAGTGGTCGGAAGAAAAGATATTACAGGATAGTGTATAGTTTAAAACAGGATGAGGTAATAAGATAAGGAACACTGAATATTAGATCCAGGTAACTATTTAGTCCTTGCTGCATTGTTAGTCAATGTATATTTGCGTTATTTACTGGTCATATTTGCTAGAGCTTGATGCTTAAACAAGCCTATGTCGCTGAAGCATGTAAATGCTATTAAAGCTTGTTAACGAACCGTCAAAGCTAATTAGTTAATATAGACGACCAGTTTTTATTATCGAATGAGCTAGTAAGTTATGTGAACTAATAGATATAACATTACGATAATATATGTGACCATTAATCAAAGGACTATTAGAATAGTGGGTTTACAAAAATAAAATCCGATTGAGAAGGTTAAGGTGGAAATAAGGATTAACAATAATAGGTTGCGTTTCTTTAGTTGGGCTCACCAATGTGGAACTATGGTCTACTATGATATTAGTACTGCTCTAATAATAGACCTAATCCTAAATTTGTAGATTTGTCATGATATAACTGCCTAATCTATAAGATCTTACGTGGAAGTCACACCATCGACTACACCAACTCACTGTATCGTATCAATTACCAATACATGATGTAGAACAAGGTTAGGCTAGAGAAAGAACAATATATTTAATATGAATAGAAGATATAAAGTAACATTGAGATGGACCACGCCTGCATGGACGAGCCATGCCACTCGATCAACTCCAGTCCATTCAATTCTTTGTTCGCGCCTTCTCCATTGTTAGGTATTTCTCCGCGTTAAATATTGAATATCTATTTTCTGAGTAGTCTCGTGTTCAGCTTTGTGGATTGTGTGGCTATTGTCCAATGCCACTACAGTATCAAAAAATCTTGACCTAAATATCTTGCTTTTTTTTAAATTTTGTTGTTGCAGAAGATTACTTGGAGCAAAAACTTAATATGCACTTTGCTCCTCGATGGCTGACTTTCCGACGTTGATGAAAACAACTTATGCTGACACAGACCAGAAGCATCTAATTACTTACCATATA